ACAGGTGCGACTAGGTGGCGCTTCTAGGTCGTTTTCCTGTAACTACATGCAGCTTATCAGTAAGCTTGGACATCTCGATCACCTATGGCTACTGTTGCATCGATCCTCAGCAATTCCAGTTGGAAATCAGGGCAGCCTTCGTTGGCGACCGGCCAGTATGACTGCCTTTCCTAAAGAGCTTTTGATTGCACAACTGTTGCCTGAGGGAAATAAGACAGGGACTGCAGTGACCAAAGCATGCTACTTGCAGCTGGCTTCGTACAACGCACTGTCCTTATTGGGAGAGCGAAATGATCAAACTCTCCACGCAGAGCAGGGTCGAGCACAGCTATTAAGGGACCAATTTGAGAGTAAAGGCATGCACATTGTAGGAATCCAGGAAGCCAGAACAGAGCCTGGAATGATAGTTTCGCACTCACATCTCCGATTTTGCAGTGGCAAAGCAGAAGGGGGCCTGTATGGAGTGGAGCTCTGGGTTTGCCGGAGCATTCCAATTGCGGATGGCATCGGGTTTCACCCGGGTGAGTTCCTTGTTGTCCACGCTGAGCCGCGAATGCTTTTCGTCAAATACCAGGGACAACTAGGTGCATTTTGCCTTTTGGTAGCACATGCGCCTCACACTGGGATTGAGAGCTCAGATAGGAAAGAATGGTGGGAGGAAAAATTCTCTACAATAGTAGGTCAGCTCGAGTGCCTTGTTTTTATTGATGCGAATGCAACGGCTCCAACAGAAATGACTGTGCATTTTGGTGGACATACCCATGACCTGCCAAACAAAAACACATCTTTTCTGGAAGCTTTTGTGTCTCACAATGGCCTGTTTGCGCCGTCGACTTTCGAGGAATTTCAATATGGCCCCGCAGAGACTTGGACCCACAGAGCAACTGGGAGAAGATCCCGAATCGATTATGTTTTGTTGCCCTTGTCCTGGAGATGGGCCCAGCTGGGTGCATGGGTGGATGCGGATATCCATGTTGGACATGCGGGATTCGATCATGACTGCACATGCCTCAGTGTGTCTTGGCAGCAGCTTTTATCTCGGCATTCCCATGCAAAACGCATTGACGAAGTAGCACTAAGGAATCCCGAAAATCAGGATGCAGTTCGTGAGATATGGGCATCATGTCCGCAGCCAGATTGGGACATGAATGCATCCCAACATGCTGCTTTAGTTACTGAGCATCTGCAGCAAGAATCTCTTAGGCTTTTCCCCAAGCAATCGGGAAGGCAGCATAGAGAACATGTCTCACCAATCAGCAAGGAACTCCACCGACGAATGACACGTCTTCGACGAGCACTATGTACTCTCAAGAAGCATGACAATTTTGCCTTGTGCACTGCAGTCTTTCGAGCCTGGAGAGCCTGGAAAAAAGGCAAGGGTTTTCGAGATGCCGATCAGGAGTGGAGTAAACTGCT